GTTGACCTCCCTATGATCCGGCGAAAGGCAGTAGGACTTCGTGCTGCACTGCCCCTTACTGACGCACCAACCACAGTAGGGATCTCGGGCGGCCAGACAAGCGGCACAGCTGCGATAGGCGGCACAGTTCTGTAATTCTACACGGTACACCTGAAAAGTCCAGAAAAGACACCCATATAGTAACAGCGAAATAGGATGTGATAAAACCCTTCAAACGAATTTGTGAGTTTAAAAGGGTAAGGTCCAGAAATCGCAGGTCGAAAACGATCACAGTCCGTGGTAAACATCCGGAATATAGAGTAATAATAATCTAGGTAGAGATATTAATAATAATAATAATAATAATAATAATAATAATATACGGAAGCAAAGTAATGATATTCGCGGCAAAACGAGATGATACAAAGAATACTGGTCAGTTCATGGTCATAACACACATGCAACTATACCGAACTCCTACACCTGTTCTGTTAAGAACCTACCGCTTGTCCCAGAATTCGTTAAATTACTTTGTACGTCATATATTACAGTCCGAGCGATACTGGACAACACGCTAGAAACGTACGCATACCTTGGACGTGCAGTAAGAATTTGAAACGTTCGGTTGATTGGGCACAAGAACTTTACTGAAAAGGAAAAGGCAGACTGAAATGGCCCCGTGTTCGATTTATTAACCGGCATCAACCGGCAATACCCAAATCCAGGTGTTACAATTCCTGGCAGGGCGTTGCACATTCAGCCAAAAGATGCTGGGTTCGATCCTTGGATGTGCCTGGGGTTGGGTATGGCTGCCTGATGACAATTGAAATGGTCGGAAATGGTTATTCCAGTCTACCTTGTATTTATCGGTAGTTTTTTGCCTATAATATGGGCCGCTGTGTGCAGTTGCGGGTGGAGCTCAAGAGGGAACCCCAAGGCATAACAGGCCGAGGGAGTTCCGTAGTCGTTCGGTCAGCACTTTTTCTGTCATTGCTCAGTCAGCTGCAGATGAGTTAACTTTCTTCAGGCTTGTTTTACGAGTAATGAGCTTGGGAAACTTCAGTAGCCAAACAGCTTCCGGAGAAGTAAGTATACTAATTCCGTAAGGAAAACTATTCAGGTATGTGTCGTAGCCCTTGTCGGATCAAAATTCCCCACCGGAATTCAAATTCATTGTAGTTGGAAGACGGAAAAAAGCCGATACTTCAACCGGCTTGAGCCAAAGATCCACGGGAGTTAGTAGGGTGCCTGGTCGGGAACTGCAAACGAAAAGATGCTGATATTCATGCGGAGAGACGCCACAATCGGAACAGCTGTCGAACGTGGACGGGTCGAGCCGGTGTTGGTACTGGCGAAGGAGCATTCAGTAGCTACCGGTTATTTGAGCCAAGGTACAGCGAGTGACGCTCGGGAGTTGTTGTTCCGAAGCCGCAATCGGAGGTGGATAGCCGCCCATAAGGACCGCGGGATGGTAGCTTAGTTTTGCCTCGACAATGGCTCTCTAGTGAAGAAGCTGGAAGGCTGTCATGATGGCAGAACCATCAACGGGTAGATTCGAAAGACACGAGGCGACAGCTTCGTTGTAGGGAGCTCTAATAGACGGCCGAACGCTACAGCTCGGTTCAGGTACGTGATAACAGTGGTGATTAGGATGGCCGGGTTGTGAACAGGTCCACCAAAACTGCTGGTCTAAGAGTGCGTTGTGAGCGACTACTGGCAGGAAAGAGGCCTCCGCATGAAGATGATCGATAGGCGACATTTTATAGCAACCCGTGATTGAGCGGAGGGCAGCGTTCTGTAGAGGTGCGTGTTCGTGGCGTACGCCTCCTCCGTTACAGTCAAGAATTCCTGGTTTAGACGT